GCTGCTGCAGCTCCCGCTGTTTGCTGCACCTTGTACCCCTTTTTTTTCTTCTTTCGCTGCAGCAAACTGACTTCTTGAGTGCCCCAGAGCCCCTGCTGCTGCTTAAGCGCTTCGAATTAACTTCCATTAAATTCGATTTGCTGCAGCACCACTTTAGAAGCAAATAAAAAAATATCAAAATTCTTTTTTTCTTTTTTTAATCTGCAATTAAATTCATTTAATTCATTTCTTCTTTTTCCCTTTCTCGCCCCCGGCTAGAGCGCCGCTGTCCCCGCGATGTCCGCAGCAGCAGCAGCAGCAGCAGCAGCAGCAGCAGCAGGCAGCAGCACGGAGGGTCTGCGGGGCCTGCGCCGCAGCGGCGCGGTGTACGTGTGCTCCCCCGGCCGGGTGTACGTACAGTGGCAGCAGCGGTGGCTGCTGCTGGATGGCTTTTTGCTGAAGTGCTTCAGCAGCAGCAGCTCCCTCAAACCCAAAACTTCCATTCCCCTCGAGTCTGCTGCTGTCGAGGGTCCGCTGCTGCTGCTGCTGCTGCTGCGGTTGTGCTCTTGCTGCTGCTGCTGCAGCTGTGCTGTTGCTGCTGCTGCTGCAGTTGTGCTGTTGCTGCTGCTGCAGTTGCTGCTGCTGGTGCAGCTGCTGCTGCTGCTGCGGCTGGTGGCGGTGATGCTGGTGGTGCTGCTGCTGCTTCTGCTCTTGCTGCAGCTCCTGCTCCTGCTCTTGTTGTTGCTGCTGCTGCTGCTGCTGTTCAGGTTTATTTTCTGCTGAGGACAACTTGAGCCACAGCGGCGTGGAGCTGTACAGCTTCTGCGTTCGCTGGCAGCCGCAGGCAGCAGCAGCAGCAGCAGCAGCAGAGGGAGAGGGGGAGGAGCGCGACTGGCTGCTGCTGCATGTGGGACTCGAGAGCAAAGAGGAGGCCCAGAAATGGTGCGCCTTTTGCTGCTGATGTTGCTGCAGCAGCAGCTGCTGCTGCAGCAGCTGCTGCTGTTGCTGCTGTTGCTGCTGCCGCTGCTGCTGCTGTTGCTGCTGTTGCTGCTGCTCTTCGTCTTCACATTATATCTCCTCTTGCTGCTGCTGCTGCTGGTTTGATGCTGTTGCTGCTGCTGTTCTTCGCCTGGCCGTTGTGTCTCTTCCTGCTGCTGCTGCTGCTGCTGCTGCTCTTTGCAGCAGTTGCTGCTGCTCTTCCATTTTCTCTGCTTTTCCCTTTTTTCCTTCAAGGCCACATCCCGTGACAGCTCATTAAATAATTAATCATTATTATAATTTATTTATTTATTATTTATTTATTTATTTATTTATTTATTTATTTATTTTATTTGAGTTAGGCTGGCAGCAATTCTTGCTGCAGTGTCGGCCTGCAGCACGAAACCTCCCCCAGTAGATTTGCCCCACACCTTGCTGCCGCTGCCGCAGCAGCCGCTGCCGCTGCTGCTGCTGCTCAATGCCACGCAGCCCCCAGCAGCAGCAGCAGCAGCAGGCAGTGGGGCCGGGGAGGCAACAGCAGCAGCAGCACCAGCAGCAGCAGCGGGGGAGGAGAAGCCGGAGAAGCCGCTGCTGCCGGGCAGCGCGCCGTTTCAGGTGTACGTACAGCCCAGTCAGTGGAGAGCAGCAAACCCTCGTTCTCTCAAATTTCCATTTCCTCTCAAAAGAATTATTCCTCAACTTTTGAGGGACTTTCAGGACTTAAAAACAAACTCCAGGTGGCCGAGGGTTTAGGGTTTAGGGTTTAGAGTTTAGAGTTTAGGGTTTAGGGTTTAGGGGCTAGAGCACTGGGGATTAAATGCAGAGCTGTGGAGCTTGAGGCAGCAGAACCCCCGTCGAGCTGCTGCTGCTGCTGCTGCTGCTGCTGCGTAGGGACTGGCAGCAAATCCACTGCAGCAACTTGGGCTGCTTCTGGCGGGACTTGAGGGGCCCCTCACGTTTTGCTGCTCAGACACAAGTGGACGCGCCGCAGGTATCTTCGAGGGTTTAGGGTTTAGGCTTTAGGGTTTAGGGTTTAGGGTTTGCAAGAGGCGGCTCTTGATTGGTTTTGTGCTGCTGCTCCTGCTGCTGCTGCTGCTGCAGGAAGTGGTAGCTCGTCTGCTGATGTGTCCGGAGTGTCTGTACAGCCCGTGGGGCACAGCAGTGTGCAGCGAGGAGCAGCAGCAGCAGCAGCAGCAGCTGCAGCAGCTGCTGCTGCCTCTCTCTCTGGGCCAGTGGAGGCTGCTGGAGCCTATTGATGCAGCAGCTCTTGAGGGCGACAGAATTCTAGTTCGGCTTCCTCCCCCGCTGCTGCGGTGGTTTGCTGCTCCTGCTGCAGCAGCTGCTGCAGCACCCGCTGCACCACCTGCTGCAGCAGCAGCTGCAGCAGACAGCTCCGCAGCAGCAGCAGCAGCAGCAGCAGAAGCGGCTGCAGCAGCGACTGCAGCAGTTGCTGCAGTTCATGGCGCCCTCGGCGGCATCCACTTCGCCTCGTGGTTGCTGCTGGCGGCGCCGCTGCTGCTGCTGCTGCTGATCGCTGCTGTGCTGCTGCCGCTGCCTGCGTTGGCCATCTGCTGCTGCGCTGCTGCTGCTGCAGCGCTGCTTCTGTCACCTGCAGCAAAATGCTGCGAGATGGAATTGGTCCGGTCAGGGTTTGCTGGTGAGCTCTAGCAGCAGCAGCGCAGCAGCGGCAGCAGCAACACAGCAGCAGCAGCAGCAGCAGCAAACTAACTCAGGCAGGAACATTGCAGGTAGCAGCAGCAGCGGGCACAGCAGCAGTAGCAGCAGCACTACGGCCACCAGTGACAGCAACAGCTATCAAACTGACAGCAGCAGCAGCAGATGCAGCAGCAGCAGCAGCGGCAGCAGCAGCAGCAGCAGCTTTGATGCATGTCCTGTTTGCAGATGCTGATGGCACTCTGTACATTATTGGGAGCAGCACAGACATCTGCAATGCTGCCGTAGCTCCACGTCCTGCTGCTGCTACTGCCGCTGCTGCTGCTGCTGCTGCTGCTGCTGGGAGTTTAGAGACGACAGCACAAGGGAAGTCTGCTCCGTCCTTGCTGCCTCAGCCGCTGGCAGCAGTGGCCGCAGCAGCAGCGGCAACAGCAGCAGCAGCAGCAGCAGCAGCAAAGCAGCTTGCGGCTCTCACTTTAGATCTCTTTAGGCGCCGCGGCGTCTCGGTGGCTTCTGTTGGCTGGCAGGTGGGCCGCTTTGTTGGTGCTGCTGCTGCTGCTGTTGCTGCTGCTGGTGCTGCTGCATTTGGTGCTCGTCTTCTGCTGTGTCACCTGCTGCTGCTGCTCTCCCTGCTTGCCACACTGCTACTGCTGCGTCTGTTGCTGCCTGTGCTGCTGCAGCTGTTGCTGGTAGTGTTGCAGCAACACATGAAAGCCTGCTGCCGTTGCTGCTGCTGCTGCTGCTGCTGCTGTTGCTGGTTCGTGATGCTTCTGCTGTTCCCTTTGCTGATGCTGCTGCTGCTGTTCATTAGGCAGCAAGAAACCCTTCTTATTTGCCTCCAACTTGCGTGGCTCCGTCCCTGTGCTGCTACTGCTGCTGTCGCTGCTGTTGCTGCTACTGCTGCTGCTGCTGCTGCTGCAGGTATCTAGGGACAATGCAGACCCGGCAGGGCGGTGTCTTGTCACTTGTGTAATTACACTAGCCTCGCCGCAGCAGCAGCAGCGAGCGCCTGCTGCTGCTGCTGCTGCTGCTGGTTCTGCTGCTGCTGCTGCTGCTGAGCGGCTCGCTGCGTCGGCCGTCGCAACGGTGATTGCAGCGGGGCTGCAGCAGCAGGAGCAGCAGGAGGAGCTGGAGCAGCAGCAGCGGCTGCTGCTGCCGCTGCTGCTGCTGGCAGCAGCTGCTGCTTCTCCCCAGACCAGTGCTGCCTCAATTGCTGCTCTTTCCTTTTTGTCTCATGTCCTTTTGCTTCCGAAAATTTTAGTTGCTGCTCGCGAAGAGACTGCAGCAAGTCCGGCGCGTAAGTCCCTAGCTAGCTAGCTAGCTAGCTAGCTAGCTGTTTGGCTAGCTGCTTAGCTAGCTAGCTAGCTAGCTGGTTGCTTGCTAGCTGGCTAGCTGCCTAGTTGCTTAACTGGCTACCTAGCTCGCTGGCAGGCTGGGAGGCTAGCTAGCTAGCTAGCTGCTATACTAGCTAGCTGGCTAGCTAGGTGGCTGGCTGACTAGCCATGCAGCCTGCTAGCTAGCTAGCTAGCTAGCCGCCTGACTGGCTAGCTAGCTGGCTATCTGGCTGGCTAGCTAGCTAGCTAGCTGGCTGGCTAGCTAGCTAGCTAGCTGGCTGGCTAGCTGGCTGGCTGGGTTGCTGCTTTCCTGTTGGCAAGTGTAAGGTGCTGCTGCTGCAGCAGAAACAGCAGCGGCGGTGCCTTAGGTCAATGGACGCTGTTTGTGCTGCTGCTGCTGCTGTCGCTGCTGCAGCTGCTGCAGCAGTGGATGTCTCTGTGGGGGAAGATTCCCCAGCAGCAAAAGGAGCAGCAACGCGGGCAGCAGCAGCAGCAGCGAACTTCGCAGCAACAGCAGCAGCGGGCGTGGCCACAGCATCGGGTGCGAGCGCCTCTGCGGCCTGCGACGCAGCAGCAGCAGCAGCAGGAGCAGCAGCAGCAGCAGCAGCATCAGCAGCCAGCGGCCCCGGCTGGGCCTACTGCAGCGACCTGCAGGGGGTGGTTCTTGGTGGGGTTGCTCTGGGGGACCAGCGAATTCGGCTGTCTTCTTTTCAGAGACTTTTAGCTGCAGAAGATGATGCACTTTCCCCCAAGCAGGCAGCGGCAAGCCACTGCTGCTGCTGCTGCTGCTGCTGCTGCTGTTTCTGGTGCTTGCGCGCTTTTTTCGTTGGCGTTGCTGTTTTTTTCGCGCTGCTGCTGCTGGCGTTGCTGCTCGGGTTGCTGCTGCAGCACTGTTTTTGTGGTGCCACCACCACGCGCGCTGCTGCTGCTGCTGCCGCTGCTGCTGCTGCTGCTGCTGCGCTTGCTGCAGCAGCGGTTGCCGCTGCTGCTGGAACAGCAGCTAATGGTGCTGCCGTGTTCCTCCAGTTTCACCGCCACCTCTCACACGCGCTGCTGCTGCTGCTTCTCCTGCTGCTGCTGCTGCTGCTGCTGCTGCAGGCGGTGCAGACCCTGCTGCAGCGGTTCGGGACTTTGGGCGTTAGCCGCGGCGATATAGTTCGCATGCTGCTGCTGAGCAGCAGCTGCAGCGTAAGTGTTTGCTGCTTCTTTTTCTTTCCCTTATTTTATTCTCTTGGCGCTCCTAGCTGACACAGGCAGCAGCCCAAACCCTAAACCCTAAACCCTAAACCCTAGCCGCCTATGTGCGTTTTCTGCTGCGTTTTGTGCGTTTGGGTGTTCTACTCCCTACCACGAGTGGCCCACAAATGCCTCCCCTCATCATAACTATTTCGAGCATTTGTGTAGGGTTTAGGGTTTAGGGTTTAGGGTTTAGTTCCTCGCTGCTGCTGCTTTCACGGATTAATTGAAAAGCTGCGTTTGCGCGTCTTGGTCCTGTTGGCTTTGAGTCGTTTTGTTGATTAAAACGATTTAAAATAATAAATTAAATAAATAATTCAATAAATAATTCAATAAATTAATTTAATTGATTAATTCGAGTGGATCTTTTGCTGCAGGTGGCGGAGGCGGAGAGCCACGTGGAGGCTCTGCTGCGCTGGCGGGCGAAAACGCAAATTCGAAAACTTGAAAAAAGACATGTTTCTGATCAGCTTTCTCGAAGTAAATTTAATTAAATTTATTAAATATTTTAATTTATTACTTATTTTATTATTTACTTTCATTTTCTGCTTTTTATTTCCTCTTTTTTCCTTTCTTTTCGACACTTTCGACCCCCAGAACGTTGAAAAGAGGCTTGTTTCTGATCAGCTTTCTCGAAGTAACACTAATTTAATTAATTATTTCAATTTATTGTTTATTTTATTATTCACATTCATTTTCTCCTTTTTTGTTTCCCTTTTTTTCCTTTCTTTTCGGCACTTTTTGCCTCTTTTCCATAAAGGTTTCCAAGACTTTGCAGTTTGTGATCAGCTTTCTCGAAGTATTTTGGGTTAAATTAATTAAATATTTTACTTCATTATTATTTAACTTTTTGTTTTTATTTTCTCCTTTTTGTTTCCTCTTTTTTCCTCTCTTTTCAATACCTTCACCTCCAAAAACATTGAAAAAGACATGTTTCTCATCAAATCTCTCGAAGTATTTTTGATTAAATTAATTAATTATTTTGTTTAATTATTTACTTTTTTTTCCTCTTTTTGTTTCTTCTTTTAATTTCTTCTTTTTTCTTTTCGTTTCGAAGCTCTTTTCTTCTTTTTTGCAAAACTTTTCAACACTTTGAAGCTTTTCACCTTCACAGACATTTCTTCAGTGGATTCTTTTTCGGCTTTTTTCTTTTTCCTTTTTTATATTATTAATTTCTTCTTCGCTTTTTTCTCACCCATTTTTATCTCACCTATTTGTCTTGTTTCTTCCCTTTTTTCTTCTCTTTTTATTTCTCTTTTGTTTCTTCTTTTGCTCCTTTTTATTTCCTTTTTTTGCGTGTTTTCTTTCTTTCACATACTTTTTTGTTCTTTTTTGTTCTTCTTTTGCTCCTTTTTGGCTCCCTTTTTTGTCTCTTTTTTGCTTCTTTTTAATCTCCTTTTAATCTCATTTTTGGCATTTGTTCCCTTTTTGTCCCCTTTTCGTTTCTTTTTAAACTCCTTTTTGTTTCTTTTAAACCTCCTTTCTGTTTCTTTTTACTCTTCTTTTTATATCCTTTTCTGACTCTTCTTTTCTTCATTTCTGTTTCCTTTTATTTCATATTTACCTCTTCTTTTGTCTTCCTCAACTATCTCTTTTTTGGTTTTTTGTTTCTTTTTTTCTCTTCTTTTGCCCCTTTTAACATCTTTTTAATCCACGCTTTAGCTCCTTTTTTGTCTTCATTTAATCTTCCTCTTTATCTCCTTTTTATCTCCTTTTATTCTCTATTAAATGCCATTTTTATTCCGTTTTTATTTCCTTTTTATTTCTTTTTTATTTCTTTTTTATTTCTTTTTTCTCTTTTTTGCTTTTTTAGACTGGGGTTACATTTATTCGCAAGACAATTTATCTCGGCCGTGTCTGATTCTGCGGCTGTCCAATTTGCTGCCATTTGCTGCAGCAGCAGCAGCAGCAGCTCGCGCGCCTCACCCGGCTGCAGCAGCAGCAGCAGCAGCAGCAGCAGCCGCAGCAGCGGGCGGCCCCCCGGCAGCCGCCGCGGCCGCGGCCGCTGCCCCAGCAGCAGCAGCAGCAGCAGCAGCAGCAGCAGCAGCAGACTGGCGGCAGTGTTTGCTGTTTTTGATAGAAAGTGGCATAGCAGCAAACCAAAATGAGGGGCAGCAGCTGTGTCTCCTCGTTGATGCTGCTGCTCTTTCTTTTTCCTCTTTGCCGCTGCAGTCCCTCTTCAACTTCTTCGCCCTCTTGGCCCCCCTCTACTCCCACCACCTCGGTGAGAACTAGCAGCTAGCTAGCTAGCTAGCTAGCTAGCTGCCTAGCTAGCTGGCTAGCTATCTGGCTAGCTATCTGGCTAGCTGGCTGGCTAGCTGGCTCCCTGGCTGGCTAGCTAGCTGCCTTGCTAGCTAGCTGGCTGGCTAGCTAGCTAGCTGGCTAGCTGGTAAGCTAGCTGGTAAGCTAGCTGGCTAGCTGGCTAGCTGGCTAGCTGGCTGGCTGGCTAGCCAGTTGGCTGGGCGAGCTAGGCAGCTAGCTAGCTAGCTAGCTAGGCAGTATCTGCAGGCGTTGTGGCTGGGAATGCTGCAGGAGTGGCTAGTCAGCGTCAGCGGCCTGCTGCTGCTTGCCTTTAATTCGTTTCATTGGCTCTCTTCGTCCCCTTTTTGCTGCTGCTGCTGCTATTGCTGCTGCTGCTGCTGCTGCTGCTGCTGCTGCTGCTGCTGCTGTTTAACTTATTTTTTATTTCTTTTTTCTTCTCTTTCTTTAGGCCTCGCGGTGGTCGTCAGCTGCGGCGTTAACGCGGCTCTGGTCTGGAAGACCTTAGAAGTAAGTCAACTGGCTAGCTAGCTAGCTACCTAGCTATATGAATAGCTAGCTAGCTAGCTAGCTAGCTAGCTAGCTGGGTAGCTAGCTAGATCAATACCTAACTAGCTCGCTAGATAGCTAGCTAGACTAGTAGCTAGCTAGCTAGCTAACTAGCTAGCCAGATTAGCCGCCAGCTAGCTAGCTAGCTAGCTAGCTAGCTTGCTAGCTAGCTAGCGGAACAGGCTGGCTTTGCTTCGTTTCCGAGGCCCAGCGATTTGCCTAGGTAACTGTCCAGCTAGCTAAACAGCTAGCTGTACCAACTGCCTAAACAGCTGGCTCTCCAGCTAGCTAGCCGCAATTGGCTAGCTAGCCAGCCAGCTGGCCAGCCGGCGGACCAGCTAGCTAGCCAGCTAGATGGCCAGCCAGCTAGCCAACCAGCTAGTCAGCTAACTAGCCAGCTAGCTAGCCCAGCTGTATAGCCAGCTACATAATTAGCTGGCCAGCCAGCTAGCTGGCGGGCTAGATACTTAGCTAGCTAGCCAGCTAGCTAGCTGTGTGCATGTGCTGTGTGCGCCAGCCGTTCGTGAGCGCTGAGACTCGAAGCAAAATATATTTTCTTCCGAAAGAAAAAGAAAAAGCTGCTGCCTTTCTGCTGCAGTTCTTTAACTGGCGGCTGCTGCCTGCGTGGCTAGCTGAGCGGCTGCAGCTAGCTGAGAAGGCAGCAGCAGAAGAGCAACCAACAAACTCCCTCACCAGTAGCTAGCAGCTGCAGCAGCAGCTGCAGCAGCTGCAGCAGCTACTGCTGCAGCAGCTTCTCCTGCAGCAAGTGCTGCTGCAGCAGCTGCAGCAGCAAGTGCGGCAGCAGCTACTGCTGCAGCAAGTGCTGCGGCAGCAGCTGCAGCAGCAGCAAATGTTGCTGCTGCCGCTAAAGGCAAGGCTCACGCGCTGCGGGCCAGGCGATGCGTTTCAGGGTTTAGGGTTTAGGGTTTAGGGTTTAGAGTGGGAAATAGCCTCCTGCTTCGAGGCATGGTTCTTTCTAACGGACTTAAGCGCGTTTTTTGCGCTAAATGACAGTAATAATAAAATAATAATTAAACAGTAAAAAAATGATTAAAAAGATTAAAATGTCTTCAGGAGGATCTCTGGAACTTTGCATTTCCCATTTTCCATTTCGCCGAACTTGCGGTGTACGTACACCGGACTGGCCGCGTTTGAATTCAACTTTTTGCAATTTCCCTCAAGAAGGGAAATTAAAATCCACTTTTTTAATATATTTCGAGTTTTGGAGACGCCAGAAAGATTAAAAATGAACTTTACTCAAACAAAATGCAACTTTTGGCGAAATTGCGTTTTATTTTATGCAGCTTTCGACCTGAAACGCAGCGCATCTGCAGACTTTTGAAAAACTCCCGAAACAAATAAATGAATTTCTTCCGTGGACTCCAATTTGATATTTTCTTTTCCATCTTTTAGTTGAAAAATTATTTTTAATTTATTTCGAGACTTTCGAACTTTCTGGGATCTAGTTTTGTTCATGCATCTTTTTTAAAATGATTGCCACTAGGCCGGTTTCGAGACTTTCGGATTTGTTTTCCAGCAATGTAATCTGTCTTATTATTCAATTTCTTTCAAATTTAATTCTAAAATATCAATTAATAATATATTCAATTCAAAATAAGAAAAAACAGAATCCAATTTTCAATAAACCTGATCTTATTTCACAAGAAAATGGCCTCGGGTATATGTACACCTGAATTTTTGGCCTTGTACGTGAACTCTGTTGCACATATCTGTTAGGCCTTTACTTTATATGTTTTAGTGGTTTAAAGTATATACCTGTATACACCAATGTACATAAATATGTATTCTCCTTTATTTAATACATATATATATACTAATATATATTAATATACACTCTTTTATAGGCGTGTGTACATATATATGTATATATATATATACATGTTTATATATATATATATGTATATATATATATACATACATATATATATATATATATATATGTACTGATATTATACATATGTGTGTGGATACAACATTTGATGTGTATATATATATGTGTATATGTATATATATATGTGGATATATATATATTATATATACACATATATATATACATATACTAGATATATGCATATTATTTATATATCTATTATTTATATATCTATTATTTATATACATTATTTATATATAATATTTATATATAATACTTATATCCAATACTTATATAGATTACTTTTATAATAAATATTGCATGCAAATTTAAACATTTCTAGTGACAGCTTTTAGACTTCTTTAAAGACAAAGGACCTGATAGCTGCAGCAGCGGGATAAGGCGCTGAGAGCCACTGCTGCTGGTGCTGCTGCTGCTGCTGCTGCTGCTGCTACAAGGCCTTCTACAGTCTTGTTGTTTCTTAAGGTCTCGGAGTTTAATTAAAGACTAAATGAATTATTATTATTCTTTTGTCTTTTGCTGCTGCTGAAGCAGCAGCAAAAGTTTGAGTTGAAAGGGCAGCAGCACAAATTAAGAAAAGTCTTTTAGTCTTTTGAAGAAGCTGCTGAGGTGTACAGACAGCTAGGAGCTGCGCCACGCACTGCAGACGGAGCAAAAGAAAGAAAATCACTTCTGAAAAGAATAAATAAGGAGTAAATAAGTAACTAAAATAAATAATAAATAAAGAAATAATAAATGAAAGCATTTATTTCTTTTGCTGCTAAAAATCCCGCATTTAGTCCTTTTTATTGCACCCGCTCTGCTGCCCGCACGCCTCATACTTTGTCTTTTAGGGTTTAGGGTTTAGGGTTTAGGGTTTAGGGTTTGGGGGTGTTTGGTGGTGTCTATTAGCTGCTGCTGGGGACTTCACTTCATTTAGGAAGAGCTGAAGTGGAAAAAGAAGAAAAGAAGAAAAAAAGAACTGCAGCAGCTGCTTGGTTTGCTGCTGCTGGGGTGTACGTACACCTGAAGGCCGCGGCTGTGGAGAAGTTTTGCAAAATAAATGCACAAAAGGGGAATTAATAAATGCCTTTTCATTTAATTCAATTTAGACTTTTGCAGGGTTTAATTTTCGAGACTTTTAAGCTCTTCAGAGCTTCCGAAAGGAAAAGAAATAAAAGTGAATTAATTTCTGGAAGCAGCAAAGTGCGGGCTTGCTGGGGTGTACGTACACCTCAGTTGGGGGCCGTTTCGGGGTTTCTCCGGCTCTTTTTGTTTGCAATAAATGGAATTCATTTATTTTTATTCTTTTGATTTTTTAGTTTTTGCTTTATTGAATTAAACACGCGTTGGCGCCGTCTCTTCTTTTCGTTTCCCGTCTGTCTGTTTGGGGTGTATCGACAGCTGCCGCCTCGCCACCCTTTGCTGCTGCTGCTGCACATTTGCTGCTTTTGCTTTCGAGCATTTCTGCTTCTGCATTTTGGCAGGGAGCAGCAGGTGTTTTTTCCGTTTCCCGGGCCAGTCTGCTGCTGCCTTCTGCCGCTGCTGCTGCTGCTGCTGCTGCTGCTGCTGCTGCTGCTGCTTCTGCGGCCTGCTGCTTCGAGTCCGGCAAGCCCTCAGCCTGCTGCGAATGGGCCTGGCAGCCCTCGCTAGTTGTTGCTGCTGAGAAGGCAGTGGAGACAGTGCTGCTGGCGACGGGCATTTGCTGCAGCTGCTGCAGTTGCTGCAGCTGCTGCAGCTGCTGCAGCTGCTGCAGCTGCTGCAGCAGCGCCGCGCCGCTGCCCAGACACCCCAGCCGCTCCTTCTCCTCTGTACATACACCCGAAGGCCCAAAACGCCCCACACCCACAGAAAGGTCACTTTGCACAATTACATCTTTTGCTGCTCTCATTTGTGTCACTGCGCTGCAGTTTGCTGCTTCTGCTGCAGCGTGGGGCCCCGCAGCAGCAGCGGCAGCCGCTGCTGCTGCTGCTGCGGCGGCCGCCGCCGCCGCAGCAGCTGCTGAGGGGTAGCCGCTGCGGCTGCTGTTGCTGTTGCTGCTGCTGTTGCTGCTGTTGCTGCTGCTGCTGCCGCCTGTCCGGGGCAGAAAGGGAAAGGAGAGGGACCACCTCTCTGCATCTGTTTTGCTGCTGTCGGGCTGCTGCTGCTGCTGCTGCTGCTGCTGCAGCTCTGCTGCTGCTGCTTCTCCTGCTGGGTCTCCCCTAGCTGCTTCCACAGGCAGCGATTGCATCCCCACAGTAGTCCTTCCGACGATGGTAGGAGCTGCTGCTGCTGCTACTGCTGCTGCTTGTGCGGCTGCTGCTTGTGCTGCTGCTGCTGCTGCTGCTGCCGCCGTGGGACCCCACAGCCCCTTGCCCCTGCTCAAGCCCAAAGGCTGCTGAGAGTTTATTCGCTGCTGCTGCTGCTTCTCTGCGGTTTTCCATCGGCTGTCTTCTCCAGCAGCAGCTGCTTCTGCTTGTGCTGCTGTTGCTGCTGCCTGGCGTTGCTTGGGCTCATTTTTGTAGGCCTTCTTTGCTGCTTCTTTTGGCATTCTGCTGCCGTCTGGCTGCTCTTCGTTGCTGCTGCTGTTGCTGCTGCTGTTGCTGCTGCTGTTGCTGCTGCTGTGCATATCGCCTGTGGCTTTCACCGCCTCTCCCCTTGTAAGAGGCCTTATTGCTGCTCCTTCATTTGCATTAGCAGCAGCAGCAGCAGCTGCTGCTGCTGCTGCTTCTGCTGCTGCTCTGGGATTTAGCGGGGCGCTGCTGTCAGCAGCAAACAGGAAATCCACCGTTACCTTCCTATCCTGCCATGTGCTGCTGGGCTCTGCTGCAGCAGCAGCAACGGCTGCTGCTGTTGCTGCTGCTGCTGCTGCTGCTGCTGCTGCTGAGCTGGGCGTCGGCTGGGCCCCCGCCCGGAAGCCCTTAGGGACTTCAGCAAAGTCTTGCATGCGGCATGCAGCAGGAGTTCTTGAAGCAAACGGGAATGCGTGCGGCTCCTGCTGCTGCTGCTGCTGCTGCTGCTGAGCTGCTGCTGCAGCTGCAGCTCTAAGCGCACCATCGGGGAAGGCCGAGGAAGCATGCGCCATGAGGCATTCGGAAACAGCAAGTCTTCTTTGGACAAGTCCAAGTCTCTTATCTGCTGCTAAGAGAGCCAAGAAGACCAGCAGGCTGCAGGGGCTTTGCGGCTGCTGCAGCGCGAGCAGCTCGGGAGCAGCAGCAGCAGCAGCAACGTAGGACAGCAGCAGCTGCAGCAAAGGAAGCGGAGATGATATAAAGCCCAGCGAATGGACCCAGCCAATATCGTAGTGTAGCGCCGCCTGCAGCTGCAGCGCCTCGGGGGAGCGGGTCTGCGAAGCAAAGCCCAAAAACGAATTCAAACCCAATTAAATTCGGACTTTTTTGCAGATTTATCTTTTATTTTAATTTTAAATTAATTTTAAATAAATGAATCGCGAAAACAGCGAAAAAAACCGGAAAAAACCAGGTCGAATCAACTTGAATTGGTCTTTCGGTGCAGCAGCAACAGCAGCAGCAGAGTTTGCGGCAGCTCAAATCGCTTTAATTCCAATTCACTTTAATAAAATGATAAAACAATTAAACTCGAAAGCAGCAAAAACTGAAAAAGAAGAAGACGCAGCAGAAAATTGCGAAGACAGGCCTTCGCAGCAAATTCGCAAAATTCTTGCTGCGGCCTACACCCGCTGGTGCTGCTGCTGCTGCTGCTGCTGCAGCTGCTGCATAGCTACAGACCTCGTAGACCAAAATCTCCTTCTTCAGTGCCCCAACCAGCAGCAGCAGCAGCAGC